AAAAAAAAATAACAATTGCAGGTAAAGCGGAGTTGGTGGGCAGATATGTGTGTGGAATCAGCTTTTTTTTTGACAACATCAACACTAAACAAGCAAAAACAAAACCATAAAGAGAAATAGATACGGAAAAGTCTTTACGCGCCTTGTACGAATCGTTGCTCCCACATCTTTGCATGACTTCCCATCCAGAGCACATTGACAAAGTTTCAAGGAAGGACTGCTAATCGCTAATGGTAGTCACATCCGCAACACAGCTGCAATTGCAATTGCTACTGCTGATACTAGTACTGTCAACCGTCTGGCAGGAGGCCTCTTCTTTCACCAGCAGCGCTCGCAGGCGCTCGGCCAAGAACGTTGCATCCACCGTCGAACTCGTCGTCCCACCCACGTGGGAGTCACTGTTGTTGAAGAAGACGAAAACCTCCCGCTTCTCCGCCCCTGCGGCTCCCCCGCTGACGAACTCGGCGATGCGCTCCGCCCACATCGACACCCGCGCCGGCCCGTAGTCACCTACATGCAGCCCGAGAGCGCCGTGCAGGCGAACGTACATGAACCCTACTCCAGTGTCGACGTGCAGAGACCCTGCAGGATCGTCATGATGATGCGCCACAACAAGCGCCCACCCAACACGACGCAACAGATCGTGCGTCTCTGCATTGTACCACGAGCAGTGGCGAAACTCCACCGCAACGCGGATTGATGGGGGAATACGTGCCGCAACTGCCTCGATGCGTTCCATGTTTTGAGGAGTCTTGCAGAACTGCGGAGGAAGCTGCAAGAGCACCGGGCCGAGGTGCGGCCCAAGTAGAGAGCAGCGGCGCACGAAGAAGTTGATGATGTGCTCTTCTGTGTCTCCGTCCATGGCAAGCATGCGAGTATGCGTTAAATACTGATTCGCCTTGATTGTGTAGATGAATAGCGGGTGCTTTTGATCAGCATCCTCATCATCGTTGTTATTATCAACGACAGCACCGTCATCCACTTTCCCCAAACCATTTTGGCTGATTTTAGTTCTATTCCTTCTACCGTCATTGCTCTGCTGCTTCACCACTGTGCCAACGGACCCCCGCTGTAGACCAGGCGAAGATGGCGATAATGATGGGCACATTTCCCCCCAACTTTTCCATGTCGCTTCATCGGTAACATTGTGGTATGTGTAGCAGTGTTCCAGGCAGTTAAACTTCTTACTGTACTGTGAGAGGAGGGTCTTCATACGCCTATCCTTTCCCGGAACAGCGTTGAGCGAGCTGACACCGATGTGTATGTTGGGGTACCCCGCAACAGTGGCCAGCAGTGGTGGAGAGAATGGATTGCCCCATCCGTACGTAGCACGGCGGCTGCCGTACGGGGAGTTCACCACCACACGATCGTTACCGCTTCGCTCCTCCACCCGTTGTTGTTGCTGATGCTGCATCGCACCAGTAGACCCTACAGGTGATGTCAATGAGCCACTCCTCAATCGCTTCATTACCCCTCTGCCTTTGTCTGAGTGCGTGTACAAAATACAAAATGGAAAGCGCACATGTGCGGATGTGGAAGCTGCCTCAAGCGAAGTACTGCACCTCACACTGTGGAGCACATACACACATACACCCAGACACAAACACCCACCCAGACATATATGTACGCAAATATTCACAGAGAGTGAGAGAGGAAAGAAAAAAAGTCCAGGAAGCAAGTAAAACCCATCACCGCGCAAATATTTTCACACGTCCACCATCGCCAAACTCTTTTCAAATAATACTTCACAGCTCAGCAGAACGTATTTTTCAAAGTTTCATGCAGCAACCTCGCAGTGCTGCGCTGCCGCCAGTTCACCTGCAGCGCCGCTACCACCAAATCTAGCTGCCACTTTGGCGGCGGCGGGTTACACGGCAGCTTCGGCACACGAACAGGCCCTACCCGTTTTCCGTCAACCATAACGGCCACTTTATCTCCCGACCCATCGTTATCATCATCATCATCATCATCATCATCATCGCCGCTGCCCTCTCGCTTGTCACTTCGTGCTCTGCCCAGCTGCACGCTGCATGGCGGGGCGCACGCCTCTGGCAGTTGCATCAGCGCCATCTCAACTGCGAGGATCCCACATGACCAAATGTCTGCCGCAAAGGAGAATGGCAGCTCCGCCTCAAGCTCTGGTGCCGTGTATGGTGGCGTGCCAACACGCGGTGTGGCTTTATGTAGCTGTGTGGTGGGATTCACAGCAACGGCATCGGCAAAATCACCTAGCTTTGCCCGAACATCGCAGAGATGACAGACAGTTCCTAGCGAGTGACATGTGCTGCAGCGTATCACCACAACCAGAACATTCTCTGCTTTGATGTCGCGGTGCACATAACCCTGGGTGTGCACATCCTTGAGGGCCGCCAGCACACCGAGCAACACCTCACGTTGCTGTGAGAGGCTCATTCGCTTTTCCCGTATGATAAGGTGATTCATGAAGCTCAGCAGGTTAGTGGGAAAGTACTCCATCACGATCCCACCGCTCCATCCGAGACAGCGCACCACATGCGTTGAACCACGAAATTTTCGAAGAACCTCGTACTCGCGCACAAGGCTATCCATGTCGCTGTTGCGGCGTGGAACTTTCACGACGCACGTGAGGCCACCGCCCAACACGCCGCGGCGTACCACCGCCGTCGCCCCTCTGCCGCACTCCTCCAGCATGTGTATCCGCTCGGCGGCGCGGTGCAGTATGATGCAGTGCGCCTTACCCCAGTCCGCGAGTAGCGCAAACGCCGGCGCCTTGTACGCGTCGACGGGCCACATCTCCAGTTTGTGCGGGCTCAGCGTCGTGTCGACGAGAAGGTGTCGCCGACCCTCCAGTGGGACAATGTTCCACGAGTGCCGCTCCGCCACGGTGTCGTCCGGTCCTTGGTGCTCGCCGCGAAGCAGGTAGCACGGCAGCTGCACCGCATCACACAGGTACTTGAAGAGCAGCGCTCGGTGCCGGCACACACCTCTACGCACTTCTCCGAGGCGCACAACATTCGCGCCGTTGTTCGACTGAGCCCCACCACGTTGCCGCTTCTTTGTACCGCGCTGGCGGCGCAGTGAAGCAATGTAATCCTCTGCGCTCTCCCCAAGGTTCTCGCCGCCGTATGCACTGACCACCAGCCACATAAGCGCCTGTACGCGAACGACAGTGTCGATGATGCCCAAAACAGCGCGCCGAGCCGCCGCGGCAATGGCCTGCAGTCGTGTGTCCTCGGGGTCCACGACGATAATCTCGCGCTCCGCCATCGGCATCTCCTCGTAGCAGTCCTCCGCGAGCAGCTGGTTGCTGCGCCCAGGGTCAGTGAATCCCCCGACAATTTTGTCCTCTGGGGACAACACATCTGATGTCCAAAACTTACGCGACAGTACATCTCGCTTTTGCGTTGGTTTGGATGTGGCGTACTTGTTCACTGTAGTGAGGCCTTTGGTGGAGCGGCGCACGAACACAGATTTTGACTCCAAGTGTGTCTCCAGGCCCTCACATTCTGCGTGCAACATGAAGGTGAGCTCGCACACCACATCTTGCATCTTAAAATTTTTTATTGTTACTTGAAAAGAGACAACTTCCCTGTTCTCGAGGTTATCAAGAGTGACGGTTGCCACATCCTTGTTTTCGATCTTCTCAATGTGAAGTACACTCTCCGTGACGTCGTGCCGATCCTCATCCAGTGCACGCAAGGAGACGTGTGTGCCGTCCAGCATCCAGAAGCACCACAGTTGGACAGTGAAGGTAGACCTCTGGTACAACACTGGCGGCACGGTATTACACGGTAGCAGCTCGTTGCAGTGCACAAACTGCACTGACAGCTCCGGCTGAAAGAAATGGGAGGGGTCTTTCCCAATGATGTGCCACGTTCCTAACCGGTCAGAAGGACACCCTTCCGCGGCTACACTCCCGGTATGTGCAACCACTGGATCCCGCTGATCGTCCAACGCCACGCGAGAATAGCCGCGCCAATATGGACACATGCTGCCACCACCCCGTGTAGAATTTATATGCTGTTGTTCCTTCATCGCCGGGTAAACTGAACTCTCACTTGGTGCAAAGAAGGCCTCCATAACAAGGAAACTCATTGGGTGCAGCGCAAAGTACACCGAAAGTCCCACCCATTGTTGTTCCTCTTTCACTTCGCCCCCAGGTTTTGCTGTGGCCTCGCTCGAGGTGACAGGTGGTACGCATGTGGTATTGGTAAGGAAGCCGCCTGTTGAGAACATTTCGCGTGTCGCCACCACCTCGTAGGGGAGGAAGGAGCAGAAGATAAACACAAATCGGCTTGCCACGCGTGTGATGGTGCCGGGCAGCATGCTCTTGGACGTAAGGGATTCGGCCTCGTGCAAATGGACCAGTCTTGCAAGCGGAAGCAGTGCGTCACCAGTCTCCTCGTGGACGGGTTCAACGGTAACACACCGCCCCACTGGCCTAGAGTTTAACAGGTGATCAACGTACTTCAGCCTACGTCTCCCTGTGGATCCCTGTTGTTGCTGTTGCTTCTGCTGTTTGTCGGTATCTGAGTGACTCTCAGTGTTTGTGCATGTTTGCGGTCCCTTCTGGGAGGGCATGGATACGCGATAACGACGCGATGGAGCATCAACGGCCTCCACGACAGCCTCCTCCGTGTCCGGGTTGTACTCGAGCACGACCGCATCAATCATCAAGCATGCCTTTCCTCCTTCGATCCATAACCAGAAGGGATGACCAATGAAAGTTGCAACTGGACGCTTTGCAGACCACACGCCTGCAGACGTCGATGAGTAAACCGAAAATTGCATCCACGCGTAGACAGATGCACCTGTAACTCACAGAGAGCAAAGAATAAATAAATCAAAGACAAAAAAAAACAGTCGCCTTTCTACTTCGCATGCGGTGTGGCAGAGCATGTTGAATGAATGCGTACCACACTATAGCATCATCTCTTTCTCTCTCTCTCTCCCCCTCTGTCTGTCTGTTTGTGTGTGTGTGTGCGTGTCAAACACACCAGCCAACTGCCTGATTTCGCCTTTCACAGCAATCTTCCCCAGCCACAGCAGCAACAACAGCTAATGTTTCTTCCCCTTAATAACAGCACGGCGACGTGGCGGCGATGCCTTGTCAGACTCGGTGCCGTGAGAGTACTCCGCCATGTGCTCGGCGCTAGTGCGGAAACACTTGTCCCCGTACGGGCAGCGCGGCCTAGATGTCTCAACAACCACCTCGAACTCCACCGTCGCGTCCGACGCGTCGCCATCATCGTTCTTGTTGTTGTGGTTGCTGCCCTCACTCACCTCGCGTGCCCGCTTAGCGGGTCGCGTGCTCTTCGCCGGAACCTTCGGTGGCGATGCTTTCGCAATCGATGCTGATGTTGATGTTTTCGTTGCTACTTTTCGTTCTTTTGCCGGTGACGCCCCTTTCGGCAAGAGCTCCGCAGCTTGTGGCGAGTTGGCGACGTCCCCGACACGTCCCTTCAGGTCTGGCCGCTGCAACAACTCACCAGACTTCATTTGACACACTAGCTCCCGATCTGCGGGTGCTAGATCATCGAAGCCTTCAATGGTGTCCAAGTCACCCGAGGCCTTGGCGTTTTGAAGCTGTTTTTCCGTGAAACAACAAAGGTGCCGCCACTTGTAGCTAAGCTGCTCCTCACCAGTGGTCGGCTGAGACCCGCCACTCACGGGGAACACCACAGCCGTTCCTATACGAACCTCGTGCTTGACAATCGTCTGCAAGCACGCCGTGAGAGCGCACTTGGCGCGGCCGGATTTTGCGTACTCGACACGCAACTGTGGCATTCTCTCCAGCAGAGCCAGCCCCTTGAAAAAGAATACGGAGTACAACACGTCCGTCACCTGAATGAATAATCATGAGCAGCAACAGCAGCAAAAGAAGATAGGGAGAGAAGGCGCGATATAAGGAGATTGAAGTGGTAGGATGCAAGATCAAGATACACGTGTACACATACACGCACTGGCTGTGGGTGTATGTGTACCTGTGCTTGTGTGTATGCGTGAAGGTGGGGACATGGAGAGCACTAGGCAGCCGTGTCACCTGCTTGTATGAAGACGTATGGGTTCGTTTCCTCTCACCTCGCGCAAGAGCAAGAACAGAAAACAAAAAAAAAACTTGCGGTCCATAAATACTTTCACAAACGTAAGCAGAGAGCGCAAACACACACACACACACACACACAAACAAACAGAGAAACACATGCAAAGCAAGAGGAAACGGCTGCCAAGAAGAAAAAAAACATGAGGACCTTTACAGAACACGGCAAACGGATTCCGTCATCCCCAATTTTGTGTGAATAAGAGAGAGGCGCTGCACGAAGATGCAGCGGGTAGTCACGCCGCCCCGTTCGTTTTTTTTGGTTTTGCTTTTCTTCCTCGCAATGGCCCTCACACAAAAACACGACCGAACATGTTCCACAGAAGAGGAGAAGCGGACATCCTACACACACACACACACGCTTACCGCTTCCCTCTCTCTCTTTCTCTCCCCTCCCCACCAAGGCCATACCGAAACACACACGCACATACGCAGAGACGTTGAAAGAACCAGAAGGAACACAGTTCTGTCCGCACGCGGAGCATGTGCGCCACAACCACCTACAAATGGGGTGTGGGAACTCCCCTCGTTTTTTTAGTATATATTTCTTTTTTTTTTGTCCCTTCTCCCGTCTCATTTTACCCACTTTTGCGGCATGAATTAAATCCAATAGAAATAAAACGTGCCATTGCTTGGGAGCGAAGTGTGAAGTTTCTACGCTCACCGCATTTGCTTTTGTTGCGTGTTGTCTTTTTTGCCCCTCCCCCCTCCTCCTCCACCACCACCACACACACACACACACACACACACACATTTTGTTTGTTGCGTGTGCGTCCATTGAGGTTTCATTCGCTTAGTTGGTCATACCGGCCCCTTTGCAGACGATTGAAGACGCTTTAACATATCATATATATATATATATACAATATGCCCCTCATCCCTTCCCTAAAAGTCCTTCGGAGGAACAGGCAACGGCGCAGCGTTTGCGGCTGCGTTGCTCTCACATGCCTCAAACTGCACAATCTCCGGTTCCCCGTTGTCGTGCAGGATGAGAATGGCCCCTTTGTTGCCAAGACCGCAGTAATTCGGCGCGGAGAAGACAGTCAGCACACGCCGCTGGTGACTCCACTGGAATCCCTTATCCACGCATTGATGTGCACGAACTATAAAGCTAAGGTCATTGTCACGCAAAAACCGCAGCGTCACATCTTCCCCAAAGTTATGTCCCCGACCGCGCGCGCTGTAGACATACCCGACAGCTGCAGATGCCGCGGGTAATGGCTCACAATAGTCAAAGGATACACAGTGACGCATCAAGTGGTGTCTATCATTTGCTGCTACCGCATCCGAAGCAGCTGCAGATTCAGATGCTGCTGCTTCTGCGGTGGCAGCAGTTACGTTGCTGTTACCGCTGCTACTGCTGACACCGCCACCACCTTCCTCCTCAAGTTCCGGTGAATTCTCGTCGGAAGTCGCTCCCACGATCGGATCTGCCCATGTGATATCGGCGAGTGGACCGTTTTCAACACTTCGGTAGCGGTCAATGGCTAATATTCCATCCAAACTATCCGATATGAATGGCGACAGCCCACCGTGCATGGCACAGACTCTTATTTTCTTCCCATCACGTTCACCATTGATGACTGCACACAACGGCAAGCTGTCAAAGGCTTCATTTGCCAAGACCCACAGCGGATGCTCCTTTAAGTCCCACTCAACTTCACCTGAATCGTTGGCACTGCCACAATCACTTCCGCCACCATCATCGGCATCGACAGAAAGTGGAAAGTGCTCATAGCACTCATTCAAGAAGCCGTATCTGCGGTTAGTCTCACTACTCTCGTGGTTGCCCCGCAGCAGAAAAACGTGCTTCGGTGACAACAGCTTAGCGGCGAAGAGTAATGCCAGACAGTGGAAGCTCTGTGGCCCACGATCTACATAGTCACCCAGAAATAGGTAGTCTCGCTGGCCAGCCCTTGCTGCTGTATCGCCTGCAGAGTTCTCGCTGCCGTCATCCACGCCTAGGGGACCACCGGCCGCAATGACACTTTCAACAAGGTCACGCTTCTGCCCATGTATGTCACCGACCACAACACATGGCAGATGCACCATCACAACGTTGGCCTCCTCTCTTAGCATGCAGGTGGTGCGGCGCAACAGCTCCGCCATCTCCTCCAGCGATGGCAACTTGTCGGTTGTCATCAATTGGTGATATATGCGTGCGACATCAAAGTCTGCAACAAGTGAGATCTTGCTCACCACATCTTTTTTTTTCTCAGACCCACTTGGCAGCAGTGATGGCGGAAACCCGTTCGCACCACGGAGAGCTGCCAACAGCCCCGTCCCTTGCTCCAGCTCGTCGTTCTCCATTTCTTGTTCAACGACTAAACAGAAGTGCTGCACCGCGAGTGCCAAACGCGCGCGCACTGGCAACGGCTCCTTCATTATTCGTTTCACTATTCCCACCTTGGCGGCTTCTTGATCCACACTTTTCAATGCGAAATTACGTTGCATCATCTGCGATGTAATCGATTTGAGTACAGCCACAACACGTTTCTTAGACGTAAAATTAGTATATGCTCGCAGTGCTTGACGGAACTCGCAGCTAATAGCAATAATGTCACTAAACGGCAGATGCGCGACCTCCTCCAGTGGCTCAGTGTTTACTCCATTGCTTGGAACAGGAGGAGGCGCCTCCCCTGGGGTTGCTACTACATCGCCTTTGACTTTGTCATTCGCCTTTCCATTCTCCACAGCGGTCTCACCTTTTTTGCTACGGCTCTTGTCTCTTTTGAAGAAGAATTTCATGTCGCTGGGCCACTGATGAAAAGCTGGAGCCGATTTTATTATATTTTGTTAGCTGAACGTTCCTCTGTGTGACGTCCTTTCTGGCCACTGGGCGGCCTGGTACGCTTCTCCCTGGAAGGGGGGCAGCACCAAGACGAAAAAAAAAAAAAAGAAACAAGTGAGAAGGAACAAAAGAAATAAAACAAAACAAGGACCAGCCTCAGCGACATACCAAATCCAAAGAGGAAAATAAACAAAAACAAAGAACAAAATCAAGCCAGCAGAGTGTAAATCTGAAGCACAACAGATAACGATCGCGAGACATCGCGCAACTGCAATATTGACCTTCTTCCCACTAAATACACGCCCACACACAGCACGATCGTTGGTCCCTGATGCGTCCTTTGCAAGACCAATGAACACGTTGTTGCACGACCTCTGCATTGGGGCGCTGTGAACTCTACTGTGCCTTATTTTCCTCCAACTTGTTGTTGCCGCCATTGTTGCGGTATTCTACCCCGACACCACTGTCCAGAACCACCTTCTTGCGCTTGACGGGCCTGCCACCGTGCTCTGCGCCCATGAACACAATGCCGAACCACGCAATGGCAAAACCGCACAGCAGCACCACAGACGACTTCGCGGTGCTCGGGTATGCCTCAAAGCCGTACTGCACCGCCGCGCCTGAGGCAATCTGAAGCGGGAGTGGGAGCCGCGTCGCGGACAGCACCATCGGCATTGAGTGGAAGAACCACACCAAGAATTGGTAGTGCAGTGATCGTGCAAAAATAACACCAATCAGATTGGACTCCATCATGGTTAGGACAATATTACGGTACACCTCGTCATCGGAATCGTAAACGCCCACCTCCTTTGTTTTCTTTGTATTTCCGATGCTCTGCAGAGTGGCAATGTGGGTGCGCCGGTAGAGGCGCCTCGACCATCTCTTGCGCCACAGAAGGATCCAGTTTAGAACACAGAGCAGCAACATGACAAGACCAAACTCCGGTGACACAAACAATTCCTCAGGCACACACTTGAAGTTAACTGTCCATCGGTACGTAAACACACGACCAAACTCAAAGGCCTTGAGAAGGTAACTCTGTGGGTCATACAGGAGAAAGGGAAGCCCTGCAACAACTTGCCAAAGAGCACACACGGTGAGGCAAGAAATTACCCCTGACCATGGTAGCGCCCTGCAGAGCACCACCAGCAGCCCGGGAGCAAAGAGAAACACATTCATCTTCACAGACACGGCCATGCTGTAAAGTAAACATCCGAGTTTCCACCGGCGCCCATTGGCCAAGGTTATAACTGCAAAATACAATAACAACATAGCCCAGCAATCGTTGAAGAGCCGTAGCGTAAAAAGAGACCGGATGCGCTTTGAAAGAAGAAGCCGAAGCAGCAGACGCCCACGAACGTTCGAGCGGGCATATAGTTGAGCTACAACAGCAAACAGCATCATATACATTCCAGCATACACCCATTGAGCCATAGCAATATCTTTCCCTCCCTTTGTAATAAAGTACAGTGCACTGTACGTCCAAACAAAACCGCCTGGATAGACAAGAGGACCTGTGTCACCCTTGAGCTTTTTGTAGTCAAGCTCACCATCGAGGACCCCCTTGACTTCTTGCATATAGGCAACCCAGTCGATTTCCGTGTATGGTACAAATAGAACAATAAACAACGTAATGCATAGTTCAATGGCTAGAACTACATTTAGCCACCTGTACACCATCCCCATTACTCTTCGCTAGATTGATTTCTTCACCTTTTTGTTTTTCTCTTTCACTATTTCCTTGATTAGACTCTAGTCAATCCGCTAGTGGACTAAACGAAAAACAAAGAATTAATAATCATAATAAAAATACAGAGAACAATCTTGATTTTCCTTAAGTTCTCCTCTTTGATTGAGATGGAGCTGCTTTTGTTTGGAGAATGCAGAATTCACCAGTTCACCAAGCATGGAAGTCACGCAGAGGGAAGGAAGGAAGGAAGGGGGTATGTAGGAGAGAGAACAACACACACACACACACAGAAAAAAAGAACAAAAAAAAAATCATCAGGTCTTCTGCAAGTTGTTTTGATTACGTCTATATGCTTGGATTAAACCGCATATGGTGTGTGTACCTCCGAGTTTATGTATGTATGGATGTATGTTTGTATCTGTATCAATATGTGTGTGATGATGCGAGGGGGACTTCCTCCGCTCCTTGTGCAGTCTCATCTCAGGGGTAGCGCCATCACACCCTCCACATCATCGTCCGTTATGGCGGCTCGCAGTGAGGCGCGTGCGCGTTGCTCCCAGTTGACCGCCTCACTCTTCGAACAGAAACACCTCCAAAACCGAATCGTGCTATCAGCACCACCGGCAACGGACGCAACACAGCCTGGATTCGACGCCTGTAAGAATGGCGCCGTCATATGCAGCGGCCGCGAGCGGTGACCCGCCATGACGTACATGGAGACAAGAGGCAGCGGTGTGTGCCGCGACTCCGGTGAGTAGTACCGCCCTTGGCGCGTTGCGGAGGCATCGGTGTTGGCGAAAACTACCGGCGTGGAGCCACGCCGCTGGGTCCCTTTTCGCCACATGACCAGCGAGAACGGTAGCGCCTCGCTGATGGAGGGCACGTCGTTTCCTTCACTGCTGGCCACCTCGCTGAAGGCGGAGGACCGCTCCCCCGCGTCGTGCAGCGTGTGATCATTTCGGGACATGCCTCGCTCAAACATCTCTGTCAGCTGCTCCACTTGGTCAGCCGCCCGCTCATGCGTTTCACCGCCTCTTCCGATGGACCTTCGTAAGCGTATCGAAGGGGAGCGTGCACGAATGCTATCACCCGTGTGAGCGCCCTGTGCTGAAACAATAAATGCACCATCTGGAGAGTACAACGCCTGCGTCACTTGGCACCCCGTCGATACCCCCCACGCGAGATGTGAAGCGGCAGAGGACACATCATACACACGCAGCATACCATCGTTGGTTCCACCACCTACCACGAGCTCGTAGGGGTTCGTGGGGTGAAACGCAACAGCCTTTATGGTGGTGTGCACACCGGGAAGCTTCATTCGATGCACCGGGGCACGTGTGTGGGAGAGCGACCATATGTTTACAACACCACCGCTTTCGCCCGTCGCTACCAGCGAGCCTGACGCATTCCATGAAACGCCGCAGATACTATTCGCTGAGGAAAGGAGAGAAACGGCGTCACCTGGGGACAGCTGCGCCCCCACCCCTTTGCCAGCTGACGGAAGCAACAGATCACACCCACCCATGTGAGCAACCGGTTTCACGGAGCGACTATCGAGAATGAAAAGGCCTTGTGCCGCTGTGCCGGCCGCCACCATCCACGGATGAGCATTGGCCGTTGCAAGACACTGCACACTCGATGTGACGGCCATTGCAGCAGCACCAGAAAGCGGTGTGTTCTCAAGGGGGGGAGGTGGCATTGCAAACGAGCTTACAGGCGTCAACAAACCGTCCCCGCGAGACTCGCACAAGCTGACAGAGCCGTCTAGCTCACCAAGAAAACAAGAACAATCGGAAAACTGACTGATTCCAACAGAAGTCACCTTTGAAACGGATCCACGACTGCGCTCCTGGAGATTCATAACAGCTGGGAGCTCAAGAGGACGCGATGGCTGAAAGAGTAACACCTCATCACAAAGAGCCAGAGCAACATTCTCCCTACCCCACGATAGACAAGATGTATAGAAGTCATCCTGGACTCCGTTCGCACTCAAGACACAGTACGGCGACGTTAATCGCGTCGGCTGCCACAAAGGATCATATCTTTGGGCCTTTAGAAGATCACTGCTTGCACAATTGGTATTCATACCGACTCCACCGCGGCCACCAAGCAGCAGCTCATCCTTCGTGAGGTTGACAGAAATCTCGTCAAAAGGTTGCCGTCTTCGACTGTGGGAAACGCCATTCCCACCTACGCTCGACAAAACATCACTCTGGTGATTCATGTGAGCGGAGCGAATCCAGTACTCTTCGCTTGGCATCTCGCAATCTCTAATACAATAAAATATATATATATATATATATTTTCTAGCTTATTGTTTTGAAAACGCCACACACAAGTCTGCTTGCTAAAATAGAAGCAACAACCCAGAATTATCAAACAGCAAAGCAAAAGTGCAGCACGCACCACATAATACCAAAACAACATCATGGAAAGAGAAATATGAACCTCAACAGAGCGAAACGTACTACAACCTTCACACTACTTCCGCAAAACAACAATAGTAATAATAATCATAATAAATAGTGATGATAACAATTAGCATGAATTTTTTTTTTAAAAAAAGAAGACGGTCCTCACCTCAGCACCTTGAATGGGACATGACTCGGCCACAACAGTCTAGTACATCCCGTCCATGCCTCCCATACCGCCCATACCGCCCATACCACCGGCCGCAGGGCTCTCCTCCTTCGGCAGGTCGACGATGGCGGCCTCCGCGGTCATCATGAGGCCGGCGACGGA